CTATGGACTCTCATTGTTAAAGTTAAAATGGTGGAGTGCATGATAAACATTTCTCTATGGGCTCTCATTGTTAAAGTTAAAATGGTGGAGTGCATGATAAACATTTCTCTATGGGCTCTCATTGTTAAAGTTAAAATAGTGAAGCGCATGATAAACATTTCTCTATGGACTCTCATTGTTAAAGTTAAAATAGTGAAGCGCATGATAAACATTTCTCTGATATATAAAACAGAATGATTAATTTCTGACAACATTAATATATCAAATTCAAAAACTCATAGCTTAATAACCTTCTTAAGCTATTTCCTAATTTTACGATAGCTAAGAAGGTGTCTTGGGTTAAACATGGCCACTGCATAAAATTCATAGAATAAGTTACACCAAATTATTAAACTTGTTTTTAAGTGACCGTTGTTAGACAAGCCTGACAAATATTTCGCGGCTTGAAAAAGTATGCTATGACAGGTGGATTTTGGTTCTTCATATTTCATAATTACCTGAAAAATCTTGTTAAAAATAGATGATGTGTTACATAGAGGGCGCGAGCGATTAGGGCAGAATAGATTCAACAGTGCAATAATGGAAAATTTATCGGTTGAATATGTTTTTATTATTGAAAATGACAAGTAACATAATATAACCTTTTAATGTGTATCCGTGTATCACGTCTCGTCACTTAACTTAATCTTTTACTCATTTAAACAAGAGGTGGGGGTGCAATAAATATATTTATTAAAGGGGGCGTGGATGACTTGGAAAATACTGCATTACAACATTTTGTACAAGTTATATTTAACATAAATGACCATCTATTAGATTTGAGAGATTCATTAATCTCGATATCTCGTGTACTTAAGATACATCATAAGGCGTCCTTAGTAGAGACATTCATAACATAGCTTTGTGTAACAACTTAGGAAATATCTTATGATATTATACACTCTTATCTTATGTATCGACTTAGGAAAGAACCCAAGAAATGTCTCAAGAGGTTTTCGTGTAACTGGGCCAAAACATAGCCGTTCCAAATTTCGAGCTACTAATCAGAGGGAATACATCCAGTCAGTAACATCCATCGCCACAAGGGCTTTGTCCAGATTTGATCCAAATAAATAGGATTGACTGTAACTGTTATAACACACCCACAGCTGAAGGTGTGAACTTTGATCCGTCGTATGTGCAGCTTGGCACGCAAATAACTGGGCCACACCCAGTCCAGGACGTTTTAGTACTTTCACTTAGTAAATGCTAAAATATTACCATTCCGAAAACTTTGAAACCGATATTAATAATACTCAACCATTCCGAAAAACTTTGAAACCGAAAATATTACCATTCCGAAACCGATGAAACTGATATTAATAATACTCAACCATTCCGAAAACTTTGAAACCGATATGAATAATACTCAACCTGACAATAATGATGTTAGGTTGAGTATGATATATAGACAGATAATGTATGTTATGATTAATATAAATACCTTCATACACCCAGTCTGGTATACCATTGAATATCACCCCGTCGACTCCGGTTCTGGTCAGACGTTTAGGAGGAATATCTCCAACGTAAGCCATATAATAAATGTCGTTGTTTCGTACGTAAACCTGAAATAAAACAACGCAAGAAATAACTGGAAACAAAACAACTCAATCTGAATAAAGCTAACTGCACAGGGAGATATCCAAAGGTTCTTATGTTTTGTGACTGTAATGTAGCAACTCATTGTACGAACTTTGTTAATGTGATACATTTTGAAAGCGTGTATAGAAGCTAACAAGACATGTTTATCAAAACAATTCCAAGGATTCTTATTACCACTAAATTTTTATAGTATTTTGGCACTTGTATATAAAGTTAAAATCATAAATAATATTCAACGTTAAACATTTTATTTAGGCCTATCTATGGCCTTCAAAAAGTTGACGATTCTACATGTTTCGACGTTACAACGTCATCCTGTGAGGAACTTGACAGCAGTTACATAGTATAAGATAAACTATGGTAATATCGTGAACTATACTGAATATCACGGACTTTATCAAATATATTAAAACATTGAGAAGGAAGTGAATTAGATTATGATATGAATATTAGTGGAACTTCTTTAGCAAACTGTTACATATTTCATCCAGGTAGAAAAGTTAAATAATAAGTTTGTGTTTCTAGTTTCGAAACAAAGTTATGAGAAGCAGGTTTCACAGTTAAACAAATAGTGAGACTAAATCATTTGATTAGCGAGTGTTTTGGAAGGTGTGATACAACCCTAAGGTAACACCACTGGCGTAGTTTCACAATGTGTAAATTTGCAAGCTTTGTTTTCAATTACGCTAATGACCAAGATTTATGTCATCAGATGGACTGGGCTTGAGATGAAACGGTTATGAAACAAATTATTATAAAGTTATAATATAATATAATATAAAGTTATACTTTTCACGAGGTCGTTTATCTGCAAATGACTTGAATGCTGGTATGGTAGTTACTTGTATCACAGTTTACTGATTTTATCAGAATTAGAAAGGAAAGTTTATCATTAAAAACAACACTTGGTAAGTGAATCTTCACAATCATTATAAACAACACTTGGTAAGTGAATCTTCACAATCATTATAAACAACACTTGGTAAGTGAATCTTCACAATCATTATAAACAACACCTTGTAA